CATAATCTAATTGTTAAACATATGATGCTGGAGTTTCAGTAATACTGTTAAGACAAGTTACCTTTTTATGTGGGATTTAAAATTTCTAAGGCAGTGTTAGAGCCACATAAGATACACATCATATGATGTACATATTTCATTACTATTTTTAAGTAAGAGAAGAATCCTATGGCTTCTTATAGAACCCTATCTGCTAACAGTCCAGATATTTTTGTGCATGTAATTCAAAAAAGGATACAGTTCAAAATCTAAAACTTAGCCAAGTGCATGTAATTCAAAAAAAGATACAGTTCAAAATCTAAAACTTAGCCAAGTAAGACTCTTGTTACAGAAGACATTGCAGGCATGGGGGATGACAGTACACAAGCCGAGTGCTTACCACAATGCTGCAGTGGATACAACTCCTGGGAGTATGGAAAAAAACCTGCCCCTGGTCTGCTTATGCAAGAACTAGGTACTCCCAAAGCTCCTAGCCAGTGTAACAGTCACAACAGCAACCCACTTAAATACATATCACTGTTAAAGGACTTTATCCAATCCTAGAAAGATGGGCTGTCTGTGCTGATAAAGGTATGTAAAGGGCCGTCTTCTCTTGAAATTATTAAAGCTTCTATATTATGAGTATCAACAGGTCTGAGATTTCACTTGCATGGTTAAGGAGTACATCTGAGAATAGATTCAACTGAGTGTTACCTAAACTGATCTAGGTCCTGGATATATGCCCAGACATTTATGGTGTCTGGTTTAAGCTTTTATTATTATGCAATATTCTTAGTTGGTGATGACACAAAGATTTTAACCAAGTTAATCTCTCACGATCAAACTCAGCTACTTGACTTTTAAATTAAAAGATTTTTAGCCAACAGACACTGAATATGTAGAAAAATACCCGTGACAGAAAGGACGTTTAGGATCTTACCTTCCCTGTCTTTCTTTTAAATAATTTATATTATTAATTACTAGGTGTTGACTCAATTATTCCTAATCTTGATCTATTCCTGCGATCAGTTATATGGCCTGGTTTATGTCCTATTTAATGAACCCTTTTAATGGAAATTAGAGAACTCATAATTTCTTTAACTTATATTTGTGACTCTCCATGCTTCCAACGGACTACATAAATCACAGTGTATTTTCTAAAACTTGATTTTAAAAGCTTTAATCACGCAACATGAAGTAGACACTGCTCACAAATGATATTTCTTACACTAAGTTGTACTGAGAGTCAAACATTTCAGAATTTATGTTACAAAACAATTTAACAAGTAACAGCTGAAAAGCAGCATTTTTCCCTGAAATAGTCTCAATGGAAAATATTTTTCACTAATAGGTTTACCATTAAAACAATCATATAACATCCACATACAAAAAGCTGCACCAATTTAAAAGTGTGAAAGTAAGCAGAGAGTATTAAGCAATATAAACCCCCGCAGGCACATTATCCTACTGCTTTCACTCAAGTCCATTTGAAACAGGTTAATGCTAAAGCAAAATAAGTCAATCAAACTGAAAGAAGAGTGGGTTTGCACTGACTTAACTAAAACAATGCTAGTCTGTGTGTGAATGAAACCTGACTGTTATGTCTAGTCTCTGCAATAAGACCATATGTAGATGGACCTTCTGTTTGTTTTGGTAAGTATTTAAATGCAATTTAAACTTGATTTATGCCAGTTTGGTTTAAACAATATGCAGAGTGGTTTGAAGACTGGCTAATAAATGGAGTAAGACCGAGTTACAGAACAAAACATAAAATAATCTTCACCTTACCAAATTCATTTTTAAATGTGTTCAAAGGACATAGTGATCTCCCCGTACATTTTCTGGATGACACCAATAAGCAAGAAGGGGACTTCATAATGGTAGAAGTTCTATGAAAAAAATTGAAGTAATTTTTTTTTTCTTTTTAAATTAGGAAGAAAACAAGAGTGTTATGGAATGAAAGACTCCAAAATACCCATAAAGGAGAATGTTTTGGAACAAATACCCTTTGCTAGTCTTCTTTCCTGCCCCTTCATCCTATTATCCTTGTGTTGGTACCTTTATTTTGCATTCCAAGACACATGTTTTCTAGAGTTCTTTCAATGTTTTGAAAAGTTTTTCTTAAAGATTTAAGAGACTTTCTTAAAGACTTTAAATTACTTCCTTTGGTATTTCACTTTCTCCCTCTGACTTTTGTCTTCTTTAAGTATCTTGGGCTATATTCTCTTTATCAGACTTCATATATTGGTTACATTTGTTTTAGATATTCATCCATTTCTGTCTGGCAGGGAACCAGGGTAGAGTATTGAGCACACTCAGTTTAGAAGAGGACGGTTCCAGACTGCCTGGTTAGCAGAAGGAATGCAGTAGCATCACTGTTCAATCGTAGGCACACTGCAAAGTCTGAAACATTATCCACTTCCAGAACACCATAATGAAATTATCAGCTGCCTTGCTGATAGGAAAAAACAAACTATCTGACAATCATATCATTAAACAAGTAACACAAGCTAAAAATGCTGCAGGTTTCTTGGATGCCCTCTTTATGCTTTTTAAAACACCACCTAGTAGCCACTTTACTACTGGCCAGAATATGTGAGCAGCAAACGTCTTCAGGCAATATTCAAGACACGAAAATCATGGAAACAAAGCTTCAAAACCAGCTTGTTATCAAAGCTGACAGTATTATATTCATCAGCTTATACAAAACCTAGAAGAAACCCAATTTCTCTCTCAGTTATGGGTCATATGCACATTTAAGAGTAGCCTAGCTGGCAGTGAAGTTTTGAAATTTTCATATTTTTGTAGGAGTTGATTCAAAACTTTTAACTTCAAGTCACAAAGCCATGCCAAAGACACTATCTAATCGACCTTTTATACTATAAAATTAGTTAATTTTTATTTTGTCAGTGCCAATACAATGAGAGATTAGCATATATTCAGTATCCAATGCAGAAAAAAACATGAACAATATTAAACTAAAATCTTGCCAGTCCCACTTGTCTGCTCCCCTTTGCAAAAGTTAATGCAAAAGAATATGTTTTTATTAAATATATTTGAATATTTTAGGTAAAAGTCTCTAAACTAGTTGAAGAAAGAGCTTTAGAACCCTAATTACTAAAAACAGAGACATGCTTATATTTCTTATGGTTTCAAATACGTAGAATGAAATTCAACTTCAGAGAGAGGCACGGTGCCAGCAAATTATACACTTTCATTAGAAGGGTGGGAAAAAAGGCAGGGCTAATGTACAAAAGAATAGGGTGCAGCACTCAAACAGAAAACCAAGTATTCATTCTGCATTTACTCAAACATGTTATCATATCCAGGAACACCACTACTTTAAAATCACATACCAGTTTGATCTAAGCATTTTTAATTAGGTTACCACCAAAATATTTGCTACCTCTTTACTAATACCACTATTACCATTACTCAGAATACATTTAATACACTTTCTTTTATTCACATGTCAGCACAGCGTCACTCCCTCTAGTGGGTAAGAAACACAGCTTATATGGACAACCCGAATTTTCATACAAGGGAGAAGTACTCCTGCAGCTACATCAAAAGCAACAACACTGGCTAGAGTGCAAGTCTTCTATCACAGCTATAAAGAGAACCACTATTTCACTCTGACTACTAGAAAATGCGTTTTCACTAGCCCTGTTGTTTGCTTTTGCTTCCTCAAGTTTCCAATGGCCAAAAAAGAATTACAATGAATGCAAATATTGTGGCAGCAAGAAATGCATTTATTTCTAGCTTGCTTTCACTTCCAGCAGCATGGCAGTTTCAGATCTCAGCTCAACAGCAAGTTTTGCCTGCCATCAATTATTTTCACAAATCTGATTCCTCCTTTGCATATACTGGCTACACACTAAACTCAAGTAGTATTAAAATCCTGTGTCTTTTCCTGCCAAATATCGGAGTATTCAACTCAAGTAGTATTAAAATCCTGTGTCTTTTCCTGCCAAATATCTTGATTACTCTATTTCATTTGAATACTTGCTTGACAAACCCAACTCTGGAAACACTAAGGCATGGCCTAATGTTTACAAGACCTCATTTCAGCAAATCTTACTACATAATCGCATAATGAAAAAAAAAAAGACAAATAAAACTCAACCATGTACATGGATTTTTTTTTTACTGTTATATATATAAAATCTGTACAGCTAACGGAACTACAGAATACTGCCAACAGGGAAACAAAACAGGAAGAACGAGTCAATGCAAAAGAACTTGTTATATGCATTTTTCTGTATGTATCACCTTCTAATGTATAATTATTACTTTCTAATGTATATATCCAAAGAAGTTGGCTAAAAAAAACTAGCATCAGTTTGCTGCAAATGATGTTGATAATTTTTTAAAATAGGAATGACTTTCAACTGATAGATATTTTCGTCTTTCTAATTGATTTGTTACAACCCGATCCTAAGCCAGGAGATGCCTTAAGCAAAGGACAGCCACTCTCATCTACAGCAAATTAAGGTACTCAGTAGTTCACCAATTGTTATTCTTAGAATAATATATCAAAACATAATCGGAAATTATTTGATAATTTTTAGATTATTGTAGTTTAGACTGATGAGTAAATAGTCCACTGAACCACACTGTAGAGACAATGACTGGCAATTATATTACTTGAAAGACTGTTACCAGAACAAAATTGTTAAGTAACACATTTCTAAGAAAGTGACATTTTTACAAAGAGACAAAGGCATATATTTTCCACCAAAATCTAACGCTGCTGTCATCAACAACCCAACAAAAGCTACAGCTACCTAAAATGGAAATGAAAATGTAATGTATGGAAATATTCTCTTATAAAATCTCCTTAGGCTTCACATGTATTAATGTATTAGTTTGCAAACATTAAGATCAAAGGCAAAGCAACAAATACATCCTAAAAAGTTTTTAGTCAGATTTTTATTAACGATATACAAGTAGCAAGGCATAAAAAATTAATATGTTCAAGCCTTGAAATGTCAAGTGTAATGATCTCTAGCTCTGCTTACCTCCTTTGCTTTTTGTTTCAGTCTAGCTTGCTCTGGGTCTTCTTGCCTTGAGCGACTCTACATGTTTGGAAAAAAATGGGGAAAAAAGGTTAACAGATGGTTTAAGAACCCCTCATCTGTTGCAGTAAGTTAAAAAACAGCAAAGAAAGGGGAACAGGATACAAGGTGTCAAAGATGGGATGCTTAAATTCATAGAACTGCAGTTTCCAACCCTTAGGCCTCACCCAAAAGACTGTTAAATATTCAATTGTAAATAAGATCTACCCTAGATTAAAATAAAAAAAAAAAAGACCATGTTTCTGTCAATGCTAAAGTTTCCATACAGGTTTAGATTTCAATTACTTAATAAAAACAACTTCAAGCATCCGAGAGCGGAAGTGACACCCTTTCCATTATCTGATCTTTTTAATTTAAACTTCTTAGTCACTTATTTTAAAATAATTTACTGTTTGCAACTAAGCTTTCCTAGATTAAAATAAAAAAAAAAAAGACCATGTTTCTGTCAATGCTAAAGTTTCCATACAGGTTTAGATTTCAATTACTTAATAAAAACAACTTCAAGCATCCGAGAGCGGAAGTGACACCCTTTCCATTATCTGATCTTTTTAATTTAAACTTCTTAGTCACTTATTTTAAAATAATTTACTGTTTGCAACTAAGCTTTTATTCAGCTGTTGGTAGAGAATGTGGAGCAAACAGTTGTAAAGTCACGCTCCCAAACAGTAAATCTTCATAATAAAGATGTTACTATCCGTATGAGCTTACATTGAGTACAGCACAGAAATACACCTAAGTTAAACTCATTCATGCACTACAAATAATATTAATGTTGTAATTTTTAAAACTGAAGAAATATCGCCAAATGGCAACTTTTGTATTTTCCTTCAAAACCAGGAACAATAGCTCTAACTGTTTAATTGCAGTAACAACCCATAACAGTATATTTCTTCAGATACAGACTGTTTTACAACCATATGTTAAAACTATTAAATTCTTATTCATGCTCACTAAGCATAATCAAATTGATGGAATTCAAAACTAAGAGGTAGATAATATACGCATTATACTTTTTTAATTGCATGATTGGTCAGCATTCAGAAAAGGTTGCATAAAAAGTTGTTAAGATGCTGCAATAAAACTTGTGACATCCATGGAAAACTGTTGTTCCCGATACCTGAAAGATGCAATTGTTTTATTTTGGCATTTCTTTGAGATTTAAAGTGATATAATTTACACAACTCCTAAAGGAATAAGAATATCTATGCCCTCTCCCATCTATCTTTCTCTGCCTCATTCTATACTGAAGATAGACCTGAAACTTGAAAGAATATTAGCTTGCAAACTAACATATGCTCAGATTTTTTCCTGTTGTTTGAATTTTTCATAACATATTCAGTTCAGAAGTTAAAAATGCATGAAGAAAACCAAAGGGAGATAGGTTTTAAGGGTAAGGGGACATGTAATATTGTTGATATACCTGGAGAGAGCCTTGACTATGATTTGGCAGACAGGGCACCAATGACACCAAATTCTCTATTCTTTTTCCTGTTTTTTTTTAAACTGGGATTATTTTTTCAGCTAATATAGCACACATATAAAACACAGTGATGACAAAGCATGGCCAAATTAAACAATAATGAGATTTTTAGAAGATGTGCTTGACACTTCCCACTGTGCACAGTAGCTTCATCTTCCAACACCACCTACTAGTGATTTTGTGCCTGTTAGCATAAAAGGCAGTTTGACAGGATAGTGTCTGGAGTAATGTAATGAGAAATTAAAATCTGTAGACAGCTAATGACCAAATTAGACTCTCATGTTGTAGTTGTGCCAACCAAGAAAGAAACTCCAACTTAACATAGACTGAGATTCCTTCTAACTGCTGTGGTCAGACAGAAGGAAAAATGTAGATAATGGATCTAGTTAATGTTTAAAGAACAAAACGGCATTTCATGAAATATGTGGATCTGCCAGAGAGTTGGGAGTCTATTCAGTAGAGCAATTCCTAAGAACTTGATTATATTTATACCTATTAGGTTAAAAAAAAAACAAACAAAAAAAACATCCTATGAGTTGCTTCTCTAGGAGATGGACTTAGGTAAGTATTTATGAACTGAGCTGAATTAGGTCCTTGCTCTGTCATTTCATGATGACAGTTCAATCACTGTGTGCCTCAGTTTCTCCAGTATGACGTATGGAAAATCATATTTAGCCCTTTCATGGGTTTTGATGATAAATTTATAAACGTACAACGAACTCTATTGCCTTCCGAGTCTTGTAGTGAAAGCCGTACAGAAATACAAAGTATTGTTATATTACTGTATGAAGCTGAATCATTTGCCAAATGCAAAGTACAAGTTAAAAGCAGTTCAGCTTAAGGAGAAAGCAGAGTGTCCTGGGAGAATCAAGCTGAGACTTCTAATATTGTTACCAAGTTTCTACAAGAAAGTGATAGAATCTTGGAAAACATACCAGATCTACGTTATGTTTGGGGACATTGTAAGAAAAATTAAAGCAACAGATGCAAAGTAACATTGCAATTTCCTGGACTCCGTAAGTGAAGGAAAAACTCTGAAATTGCTACAGATTAAAAAAAATAACACATTTAAAAGTTGGGGCTTTTTTTTTCAGAAACTGACCAAATAAAAGTAGACCTGGAGTTCAGGATAATCTGAAAAAGCAGACCCCAAAAGCAGGCAAAAAAGCAGATGATCTACTCTGTGTAAACCTCCAGCTCATTCACAATAAATAAATAATAAAAATTATTGCAGAGGTAAAAACAGATACTCAACTCCTGACTGATATTAAACATAGGAATTTTTTCAGTAATGAACATTTAAAATACCAGGTGATGTTAGATATCTAAACCCAGATTGAAGGCGAAGATAGAACTACTTTTACATCTAGAATAACGCAATGAGTTTCTGGTTATTGAACCCACACCAAATGGCCTTTTCAAAGAGCTCAGGCTAGCTCTTGTTTCAGTCAAGTAGAATTCCAACTTTATGTTGGATGTGTCATTACTGGTATAAGTAACACTAATAAAATTAAGGAATTTAACTGTCATTTTCTGTTTCTTTTTGTGTTCAGATAAATTTTAATAGATTTTATTTTTAAAACATTAAGATTAAAATACCTTCCTGCTGACTACCATGTCAGTTTGCAAATCAGTAAGCTTCAGAAATAAAACCATCAGCGTATGGAGGCTACAATGTGTTAAAGGAAAAGAAAAAGTATAAACATTGACTATTTTATTAATTCTTCACTTTACGATCTAATGTAAATTATAAAAGGCTTCTTCAATGCCGATGCAACACAGATTAAAGCAAATACAAGCAAACGAAAATGTCAAGCTTAATAGAGGTGCTTAGACAAGCTTTAAAAATATCACTGGCTTCTCTTTACACTCCATTCCACATGTGAACATCTTTTCCTTCCTCTGAAGAGTTTGAACAATTTTGCTGCTGCTCAGCTCTTGTAGTGCTTGTCTATATCTCACCATTTTTACTCACCAATTATTTTAATATTTTACACTTACTTTCATCAAGCTACTGACAAATCATTCCTAGTTTTTTTAATTCCAGTTTAAATTTTTTCTTCGAATTCATCTCATATTTTTGGTTGTCTTCCTTTCTCCTTTCCCTCTAACATCCAAATCTTATCATGCTGCATCTCACCTGTTTTGCGAAACATGTTTTTCCAAAATCTTTTAATGCACCGATGCCTCCTTCCTCTAAAGCTTCGGAAACACCCACCAATCACAGAATCCCCCCAACTCAAATACTTTCAATGGAGTTTATCACAACTCCTTTCCCTTCCCCTCTCTATTCTTCATGTCTAGATCTGTAAATAAAGAAATTTGGGTTTACGTAATAGATTTTCACGTTGATGAATAAACACCTTTAGGAGCAAGCTAGCTTCCCATAATAATTTTAGAGAAACCTAGGACTGATCCTAACCAGATAACATACTTTTAAATACATTAAATGCTGTCTGCTACTGAGAACTTATTCACCAAACCAGGTTTGTTAACATTTCTCCCAAACATAAACTACTTTTATTAGACCAGACAGCCTGTTATTTTAATTGTTAAGAATGAAAGTGCTTTGTGTTAGAGAACTTGCTATCTTATTTATCTGAGAATTGCATAGATCACATTAGGTCTATGGAAATATTAAGACTTTGAAAGTATGAAAAGCAGCATATGTTAAATGTGTATTCAAAACACATTAGAAATATGGGGTTTCATTTACATGTTACCAAACTCCCTAATGTTCCAAACCTCAGCTTTTCCCCTTGCTTGTGTTAAGGAAGAATGCCACAAAAAGCAGACATCTAATTACACACGTAAGAGCGTAATTTTAAGAAGGGGATTTTGTATTTCATAGAATGTTCTTAAATTAGAATGCAACAGTATTTTAAAAATAATAACGATATCTATAACTCATGTAATACTTAAATATTTGCAACAATTATTTTTAAAATTGGAGGATACTCTGTGTCTATGCAGATGGGCAGACCAACAGTCCTTCTGATGTATTTAATTATGATAATTATTCAGTATTTTGTTGTAATTTGTAATGTCAAAGCTGCACTGTTGTTACATTTTGTCCCACTAACAAAAAAAGTTTTCTACTAGATTTATACTGATTTTGAACTCTCAGCTTGTTAAACCTGTGTTAGAAAACATCTCACAGGGTCTCTCCTCTTAAATACGTCTCCTGCGTTCAGCAACTTCTGATCCCAGTTAGGGCACTTACAGCTCTACTCCCCCTTCCCAATACATATACTGGGAATCTTTAATGCTTCAAATTCATCTTTTTTCATTAAATAAAGTTAAGAGTCACAACTGCAGGTGCTGTACTATTGAGAGCCACTGCTGTGCCAACAGTTTCAATTTTAAACCTATTTTCCCCCATTGATGACATTAGAACTTCACCCACGGCTGTACCAGCTTATAACTTTCACTTTTAATTAAAGAAATTAAATTGGCAACATGAAACACTTTGCTTTCACATTAACTTTCACTTTTTATTAACAAAACTAAAAGCAGCATA